TCAAGTAGAGGCTTCGCCCCTTCTGCACATACTATCAGGACAACTGGGGAAAGTTGCTACCTATCATGGATATTGCACAATTAACTCTTCCTCACGAACCCCTGGGTGGCATATCCCCTTTTCAGGTCGTCAATGGTACAGAACCTCGCACTTCGTGGGACCTCGTCAACCCTGAGCACGCTGTCTCAGCCACGGAGAAACTTAATAGAGAAGAGGCATTAAAAGTAGCAACAAGAGCTCATAAAGCTATCAAGTTCGCCCAGTCATCGCTACAAGAGCAGCAAGCCAAGATGGAGCGTCTAGCCAATCTTCGCCGTCGCGAAGTAGACTGGAGTGTGGGTGATGAAGTTATGATTGACACTCGGAACTGGAAGATGGACAGGCCCGCCCGAAAGCTATCTGACAAGTGGTACGGTCCTGTAGAGGTGCTTGAAAAGGTGGGAGAGAGCTGGAAAGTTGAGCTTCCCGAGGGCTGGACAATCTATCCAGTTTTCCACTCTCACTCTTTGCGGAGATACGTCCGGAATCCGCTTCCTGGCCAAGTTCGGGCGGAACTGGCACCCATCCAGCTCTTACCAGAACATACAGAATGGGAAGTCGAGGATATTGTTGGTGCCAGAATTTCCAATAAAGTCCTTCAATACCAAATTAAGTGGAAAGGTGCTGACGAGGACCTGACCTGGTACCCCTGTTTGTTGTGCTGGTGATGGCTAGGATTATGATGCACGAGGGTAATGATCACTGAGGGTGAAGGAAGAACTTTCCAGGTGGCTCCATGATGAGTAGAGGAACAATGGAGCACTGTATAGAAAGTGTTTCTAGATTGTACCACCAGATGGAGAAGACTAGAATATTCCGTGGTACTATTTTGGGTAAATAAGGCGAGATTCTGGCTACCTCAGATATGTATATAATTAGCGCTTTCTACCTCCTAAATCCATATAGTTCTGAATATCAAACATATCAGCAGTTCACATTGATCCATCGATAATCATCCGTAAACCTTCTGCCAATTAACCTCCGTAAGCTCTTACCTTTACAACACTGTTCAGATGCCATGACAGCACCTCACCTGTTGAATAGGTGGCATATCAGTCACCCCCAGGCAAAAGGTCACCCCCGCGGCCTAATGGCCTGGCTGACAGCCTACAACAAAGGAATCGAGGACCATAACCATCTGGAGGACAATAGACCCATGACTGTCACGGATCAAGGAACAGGCGCTGGTGCAACTATGTGGTTGATAGTATGTAAATTATCATTCTGAAGAGAAAACTACTTCAGTCTCTATCTATACTTATATATACATTGTCTATGTGGTTGAGGCACAGTCCCTCCCTCTCGGTTCCAATGGGATTCTTCACATGTGTTGTAGCTGTATGGTCCAATACTGCTGCCCTGCCGAACTAGATGCCGATGCCTTGATATTCTGTTGAGTGGCATCATATATCCACACATTGATGTCGATCAATCGTGCGCTACCAATATCAGGCTAGGCTCATGTTGGCCAACATGCGCTACAGGAACCAATCGGCTTACCAGCCGTTACAATGACTACAACTTCGAGGACGCAGTTTTTCAGAGGGGGGAGTAATGTAATGGTTGGACTTGCTAGGGCACTTGGAGGTAGACTGGTGGAAGAATCCGGGATCACATGATAATGTATAACGGGGATGCAGGCCGGACTAAAGTGGAGCCGCGGTCGAGCTTACCTCAAGTTCGTAGCTCCCAGCCCTTCCTTTCTCTTTGTCTTTTCTCCTACCTACGTATTGTAGCCTAATGTCCAAATACAATTTCTTCTTAGAGACCCGTATCATCCTCAGGTCAGTCGTAATATCTGGAGTAGGAAGTAAAAAATGGCGTTGACTTCGAAACGGAAAAGTCTGAAGTTATCCAATTCCCAGGACGACGCCGAGAAGAAGCAGTTGGTGTTCATGTAAACGTAACCCTTATCGAGCCTGCGGAAAATAATCGCTAGCTAAGACAGTAGACGTATGCATTGTCTCGCTCGCGACTTTCGGATCTGAGGTCTGGTGGCCAGGGTCCAAACGACCAACTCTACGAGGAATGTCACATCATCTACCTCCAACTTCTGCTGTCGGTTCACAGGTAAATGGCGTAGGGATAAAGGACTTGTATTAAGTGTTTACTTACAAAGGTATTGGTCAGCGCATCACGTGATATGGTTAGGGCGCTAAGCTTCACCTTGTACCTTAGATATTAATGCTCGAGGAGGGAGACAACAGTGGTGATAGACAGAATATACCACTTGTTTCTAGCACTTTTGAGGAATTAAACCAAGTGAACCCGGTTTATCAACATCTGCAGTACGATTGACAGAGCTAACCTGATGGGACTACGTGCTGCACTTCCAGTAATGAGTAAAACACTAAATATAGTGCTTCACAGAGAATGAGGAATGCCGCCGGCAAAGGTCATACTAGAGGGAAACCGTCTCCGGCTTTCGGCAAGGCTCAAGACCCTTGAGGATCCGCGCCTTCATGTGCCCGAATGAGTGAGTGATATTTATTGTACTACTTGATTCATAGACTATTCAGCACATTGGGCTCCTCTCTGTCCCAGGCAGTACCTTGTACAGTGCTCCTTGCCTCTCATGCTACTTCAAAGATCATTGATATATTGCCCGTGATGAATAGCCATTCAGCTCAGTGTTTACCCGTGGAATTTGGCAACCTTTTCCACGGAACCTTCTACCCAAAAAAAGTAAAAATGGTAGCAATGGAAACGGCGTGCGCGGGAAAAAGTCTCAAAAAACCTGTAGCCCGAGCCAGGCGAGGCCTAGACACCGGGATCATATGAGATGCGCATATTCATCTATATTTCCCTTCTTTGTAATAGTCGAGGCCGATTCGATCCAATACACCATCGCCGTATCAGGTGCTGGGTACGCTCCGAAAACTCATCGGATGGCTTTTCTTCCATGATCAAGGGTTGGTGATGAGAAGGGCTTCGACCCTACCATCTAATCTGATCGTGGTTAGCTTCATGATAATGGTGATGGGGGAATGTGTTGAGAGATGAAGACGATACAGTCCGCGGAAGCGATTGGGAATCCACATCGAAGTGAGGACTTTGTTACTCAATCTCGGCTCTGCAGACTCTACAGTGAGAGCTAGAGGTGCGTAGGGGACACCACTGACAGGTGTTGAGAATAGCTCCTGAATTCCTAATAGAATAAGTTAGAGTTAGGTTAAACTTCCGGTAGAGTCTATCACGATAAAGTAGGAGTAAGACAAAGACTGAACATCTGCCGTGTGCAATACAAGCTCGGCGGTCAAATGTTTTCCCAGAGCCGAGTTCAATTGAATTTAGCAGAATGAAAGAAGTTGGCCTATAGGGCAGTGATTCAAGACCCTCCAGGAAATCTATCTCTCACTCCTAGACATGAATTCTCACCCAGGCTTCTTAAAGTTTACAAGTATGAATTATTACCTGCTGATTCCGGTGATCACACATCTCATCGAATCAGTTTCTGGCCTTACATGATCTCTATTTCTGCAGTCACATGCATGTGAATACCCAGCGGAGCAAATATTTTGTGGCGTGTAAATCTAGGAGGCAGATCCTCGGGATAGATGTGAGAGTTTACGGGATAAATAGGCAAGATAAAACTGGACGTTGATACGATCATGGAAGGCGTTTAATTTCAATTTTAGGAAAGGGGTTTTTCAAATTCAGCATTTTGTGCCATGAGACTTGGATTGTATTGGAAATATCGCGCAATGAAATGGGCGCAACATCTCTGGAGCGAATGATGAGGCTGTCTAATTGAGTGGGAGCTATGCGCTACACGTACAACTGTTAGCGACATAGAGCCTAGTGCTCTTCCTTTACGTTGAATCATCTATTCTGTACTTTTCTTTGATGATTATTTTTTTGCATCAGATTTTAATTGCGTATGCAGCTATCTAGCTATGACACAATATCAAAGAAAAGCAAAGAATGGATGACTCAATATAAAGGAAGAGCACTCATGCCTCAGATTTCATTTGCAAGTACCACTGCGAAGTTATGGCGGCTTTTTCTTCACCCCAAGTCAACCCTCATCCATGAATACCCACTCAGGGAAACGTCTCAAAAACCCTGGGTTATCCAGACATGCTTCCATCATTCGTTCACATTTCTCCGCGCGAAATATGGTCTTAGGTGTCTCCTTCCCAAGTGGAGTAGGTGCCCAGGCTACTCAGACTTTACCGGAGAACACCACCAGGAGGCAGACCACGACACCTTCCATCGTCGGCTTGTTTTTATAGTGTCAGCTGCACTCTCGCAGGCGAAGTCTTGGCACGCACAAATCTCAATTCGTAAAACTCTTGCAAAATTCGATATTTCACGCCCGTCGAAAACGTATCCCTCTTCTGCATCATCTTGTAAACTTGTCCTAATCCCTCTCACGTCCATCCCAAAGAGCTATCTCCCAGATTTGTGCGCCACGCATTGCTTCCTCCGTCTGGTGTAAATATCGGCGTGGGCGTGTATTTGGTGGTCAACTGAGACTAGAGAAGGTCGAAGAGAGGTGTGGTCATTGGAATGAGGATATACTTGGTCGTACTTGTGGGCTTGATGAGACTTAGGTAGGAGTCTAACTCTTTGGGAGTGAAAAAACGACGTGGTGAAGTAATTTGATTCATTGCCTCGTGGGCCAACTTGTTCGAAATTGTGAAATATGACTGAACTTGGCTCTGGGAGAATATTTCACTCCCAGGTTCGTAGAGGACACCGCGTAAAGGTGTTCAGTCTTGCCCTCCGTGTTATGGCCTTGTATTCCCGACATCAGGGGCCCCTGATACTATTGTTCCTTTCTGTTAGAGTTTAGAATAATTGGGGCTTTCAAGTAGGCCACGTTGTTGATACACACGTGACTACAAATTCTGTTCTTAGTTTCACTCGGTAGTTACTTGAATCAATGCGCTCTACAGTCTCAACGACTGAGGGGTAATTATTTCCATAATAGAGTTTGATATTTCTGGATGGATCTTTTAGTAGTATCCCGAGAGTGAGTGTAATACATCAAGGGAATAAAGGGCCTCGGCGACTAGCTGTAAAGGTGTGGGTGCTACGCTACATACAATCATGCAATTGAAGGATTGCCCAGCAAACCTAGTTGGAAAGTAGCAAGGGCGAAGCCACCGGAGCAGTAAGCACTGGCATCTATGCCTCTAGTTAGTTTAGTGGGTAGTAGGGACCTAAGCCAAGCTTGGCGCCCCGACGGACGAAAGGTAGAAAACAAACATATACTGAGGCTGGGAAACAGATCACTCAGCAGCGAAGGATTACATGTCGGGAATCTGGATCACTGGTAGCTGACGAGGGCATATTTAAGGAAACGTATTTACTGCAGCTAAACTCTGTAGAAATATATTAATTATTTGTGGCACTGTTAACGTGTGGTGTCCGTAATTTTCCTCGCCCTTAACAAAAATAACCGTCACAATACTTTTTGCATACAGTTTTGGCACGTACTCAGACGACTGTGAGAAAATATGAGGTGCTGTGATTGAGGAAGATAGATCTTTGAAACAGTATAAATAGCCCTGATAATAAGGAAAGAATTACAAGTAAATACCAACTAAATTCCTGGTCTAGATAGTTCTGGCTTAGAGAAGAACTTTAACCAGCAGTGAATGAAAGGATGCGATAGAACGAACAATTGTGTCACACTTTCTGAAGGAAAACCCAGAAACCAAACAGAAATAGGACGTATATTTTTGGGTGGTTTTTATCGAATTAGTATCCTCTTTTACAGATGTTATTGCTATATATATCTGTATGGACTCAATAGGCGCCTGAGCGCGATAAAATAAGTCATCAAATCACCAAGCCAAATACTTCTGTGTAGTATGGGCCGCAGTGCATGTGCACCAATTTTACCTTGTGATAAAGGACGCTGGAGATAATGAAGAGCAAAGGGCTCCTCTGAGTGTATTATCGAATGAGGACTTGTGAGGAGTGGTACTGTTTAAGGGGAGCTGTATGGAAGGCATAGTAGGGGATATACTACTGGCAAAGGTTTCCTTGGCCTGTAGGCAAAGAGGACCTACGTGTCCTACATTGTCAGACTCACAAAGGAAAATAAATTAAAAAAAAAGGACGCTGGAGCTTACTGCTCCGGTAGCTGAGGTACCTGGCTACCCAAGCGTCATAGGAAGGGACCGAGGAACTTGTTGCCTCAGGGTGTTTACATTTGACATCCGCCAACCATGAAACATCAGTCTACAGTACAAATAGAAGTCTTGAGAGACTGAGCTGATATTTGAGCCTTTACTTATCCTCAGAGCTGACATCATGCTGAAATAAAGTTAAAAGGTTACAAGTAGTACTTTACTATCCTTCGATCGCTTGCCTGCATGATGCTAGTGTCGTCCTTGAACATTTGCTGCATGACTTCATTAGTCATTACATGTTTTCGCTCTTCAAATTGGAGTATTACAGATTTCAAAAAAATAATAAACATCATCTCAGCGTTTGTATCCTAATTTATTTTTATTTAACTTCCAGCGTGGGGTTATGTTTGTTTTCGGGTTAAATGGGGCCCTTCCTGAGGAGCAGGAATTTAATTTCTTTCATAACGGCCAATACACACTAGATATGCCATTTCAAATGTGCGGACATAAATTTATGTAGCGATGTTAGCCACGGATGTAAAAATTTTAAGCTAGAAGTATCTAATTTTGAGACGAGAGGTGACATAATTTTCGTCATAAAAATTTTTTTTTTCCAAAATATGTCATGTGCCATATAGAGATACTTTTGAAGTAAAACTCTGACAGTCATGAGCAGCGATAGCTGAAAGGTTTATTTTGAAGTTCCACATCATTTTACAAGACAATGTTCAAATTTAAGCATTCTGTGAGGGCCTTCTTTGAGTCTAATGAAAGCGTTCTATAATATTGCATGGTTTCCTTGAAGTCAAGTCAGGTCTTCAAGTTAAAGTTGCATGGAACTTATAGAAGTGAAGCCTTATCATCATATTTTAGCTTGAGACTAATGCTTCGTAATAGACTTGAAGATTTTATTTCGAATAATTCAAGAAATAGCTGACAACAGATGGTAAAGCTATCTCTGATAGGTGTCTTAAATATAACGAATTGTGCCATCCAAATTGAATAACACATAAATAAATCTTCAGGTATATTCCTTATGCGGTGTGTAAAGCTTAGGTGAAGATTTCTCTAGGCTTCTAGTTAAGCAGCCCTCCTTGGAGTAGTGCTCATTAACAGTATCTTCTTGGTCTTCTTCTTCTTACTCTGACAAGTTCCGGCAGTAGAGTTATTTCCATAATTATCTTCTGTTTGCGAAAGGTTCTCAGTTGTAGTATTCAAATGGTTTGCAAGTCGCTCATTTTGCCAGGGGTTCAGCCATCCATCATCACTATCTTCTTGGGGTTCGGGTGAAGAGATTTGTAGAGATGTGGGTGCAGCGAGCGATGTACCCCATACTGTTTTCACTTTACTGGAACCTATCGATGGTAAATCATGTAAGGCCTCCAACTTATCGATAGAAGAATCTTTCATTGCTTGAAAGTTTTGTTGATGAAGTTCGGCTAGTTCATCACCATAAGGTGCAGCTGGATTTACCCCCCATTGAGAAATTTCATTGAATTCTTCGGCACGAAGTCTATCCTGGTCTTCTCGTGTCGTCTTTTCGTGATTTCTTTTCCGTCGGCTCCTTATTTCTTCTTCAAACTGTTTCAAAATTTCAGGGCAAATAAAACTAGTCCAATCACACTCAATAAAGGATATATCACAGCCAATAGGTAGATGGGATAGATATTTTTTCCGCTTCTTTAAATCAGTATCAACATTATATCCAGTTGCTATGTTTTCGATGCGAGAAAGAAGGATGGAAGGAAATGACTCAAAAGTGCCATAAGCTGTTTTCAAGATTCGAATATCAAGAGGCGCCAAAAAATAATTAGGAAGGGTCTGATAAAAGTAGTAGGGCGTCTCGAGATGACGTCGTTCGTCCTGAACAATTTTCTGATGTGCGAGGTCATGATGCTTATTTTTTTTTTCTGTTTGTGTCCTAATTTTATTTTTTTCATCGCAATTGGCATTACTAGGGTAATCCTCATATTTTCGGTTGTCAAATTCAGCGCTGGAATTATCCGAATTGTTTGTTGAGGTATTCTTAAGCTTTTTCTTGTTCTCATCATAATTCTGCTTTCGAAAAGATGATGAAGGGTTACCTAGTCCATGTACATTTTCTTTATCCTTTTTAATTGCTGAAATAGCTTTTTGGGTCCATTCAGAATCCTCCCCAAATATCAAAGAGTCTTCTTTCTCTCGAAGAAGGAGTATTTCGATCTCGGTATTGTGCTGTTCGATCATGTAATCTTCAGTACCTTTCATGACTCGAGCGTGATCTAAAACATCCATCTCGAAATACCAAGGTATGTCATTGTGTTTTGCGGCAGTCTCTGCACTATCTTTAGGCAATGCAAGGGTACTATGTGGATATCGCGTCATAAGTCGTAGAATAATTTCATCGCCTTCATGAAGTTGAGAAACCTCTTGTCCGATGTACCATCTCACCGGCTTAGTTTCTAAGATAGACATTGAGTCATTGCAGATCGGGCATTGTTTGTAATGAGCTTTTTTTTCGAAGTTGGATTTGACGACGTCGGTCGAATGCATGTAATGAATCAAGCAAGGTAGACAAAAAATATGGCCACATTTTGCCATTCTTGGCGCGGCAGGATGTGAGAGGCATATTGGACATGAGATCTCTTGTAATATTGGTGAAGCTAGTAGCTGCAAGATACAGTTCCAATCAAGTGGCTGGTCAGAATCTATAACTTGAGACTTGTATTCGTTTTGGGGGTTTACAATGAAACGAAAATTGGCGTGAATGTACCTATGTCCATAAGAAAGGCGAATATGATTCTCGAGTAGATATTACCTCGCTTTGTCGCTTGAGCGATGACTAGAGCTGATGCCATAATTATTGCTTTTTCTGAGTCCTCTAGGACGGCTACTTCCTTGTTCATGAGATAGTGGAGATAAGGTGATGTTCATTAGATGTGTGATGGAAGTTTGGCCACGCCGGCTTCTTTGATCTTGCCATACTCCCTATTTCTTGTTAGGCTCCAGGTCTTTATTCAGACCGACATCTTACAGAATGGAGAAGGGTATCCCCATCGACAAGTTTGGGTCGCCGAGAATTTTTGCGCAGACTGTTATGGCTTTGGTTGCTTTGTTGGGAAACTTGGCTAATAGGAGAGCTGATTGGAAGTCTGCAGGAGTTCATACCCAGAGTAGTTAAAGTACTTCGATTCTGATGCAACAGGAAATTATGTTTACCGCTTTAATAGTGTGGGAAGTCTATAGTTTAGTTCACAACTCTCCGAATATATCTTTTCCAATACCCATCATTTGGTGTTTGAATGTATACGACAAACTAAGACTAGTTGATGCAAGGTCAACGCTGCTTCGGAGCATGCGCGCGTAATATTTGCAATGACATAACCTCGCCATGATCCGGGATGCTTGGGTCCACAATTTATGCCTAACCGGGCGTCAAGTTAGCACGCAACAAACGCTTACAGGCGCTAATTGATATCGTCAACGAAAGGTTTTGCTACGAAGGAAATTATTTCGAACAAATGTCAGTCGTACAGTAACATTTGCATCTGCTTCCAGGTTGAGCTCTTCAACAAAAATCCGGTTCAGCAGGAAATTTTTGCGAGTCACTTGTCTTACTTTTTATATTACATTCACCTTTCATCAGCGTAAAACAATTATCCCCTAGTCATGAACAGCCTTGTCAGCCTACAAGACAACGAATTCTACAGCCCAGGGCATCATCAAAAGATTGTCAACAGGCAGTTTTGAAAGTTTAAACCTTTCATTTAGTAATTTGAATGGATGTAATCTTCTTGTCACCACTCTAAACGAAATACTGGACTCTACCCACTACAGTTAAATATCATAAATATATCTATCACTGGGGAATATTCACGAGAAAATCTGGAGAATAAAGTTCCCGAAGCCGGCATGATGAACGGTCGTCATCTGCCGGCAGGACAAGGAATGCCAATTGATAATGGAAGAAGGAGGTCATATAATCAGCACCAACATCAGCAGCAATATCCTCAACAGCCAATATATCCTGCATACGTGCAAACTTACAGTCCTAGCTACTACCATAATTCGCTTCCCTCGCTTTATCAAAGCTCACCTGCTCAGTATCAAACGTTTATTCAGTCACCTCCAATGCAACAATATGTCACTCCTCAGGTCCTACAGCAACAAGTGCCATATCCACGACCTTATCAAGCTCACCCCACCTCATCGCCATATCAGTCATCAAATCGTGCACTGCAGAATCATTCTAACAGCCCGTCACTAAAAATCACTCCTCCCGTTAAGGAAGATAAAAGTATCACAACATTAGTGCCCAACCCTGACCAAGGAACCCCGGCCATTCCATTCAGAGCACCTGTAAGTTATTCACCTTGATAATAGATCTGTACTTAAAATATTGAAAGCTACCCTGGCTCTCGAGGCCAGAATTGGGCTGGCCTGCCAAACGATCGCGGAAAAAGCGCAAACCCGCCCAGATAATCACTTCAGAAGCTGTAAAACTCTCTATAAATGGACAAACTCCTAGTGTAAATGTCCCACGCCCAATGAAATCCAATCAGGTTACTTCTGAAGATACTGTAACACGACCTGAAACTCCTTCCACTACCCATCAAGCATCAGAAGAGAACTCTACAAATCCGAGTACTCCATCTTCTCTACAGCCACAAGCAGCATCTACCGATAAGCTTCTAACGATAAAACCTACCAAAAAGTCATCTTTCCGTTCTACCATCATTGTTCCTGCACTACCCAAAGCTCTACCTCGAGATAAATTCAAAGATGGTTCAGGCAGTGAAGAAAAAGGTACAGATATTAAAACTGAAGTAGCAACAAATATTATCAGCGTAAGAACTGAGATTGATCTATCTCAAGACTTTAAGTCCTGCTCTATTGAGGCTTCACCTGTATCTATAGTAAAACGGGTGGCTTCTCCAAGGTTATGGACAGGATTATTTAGCTCAAAAGCACCTCTAACCTCAGAGATCTCTGATGAGCACAAAAGCCCGGATATCTCCTCTCACGTTGAACATACCGACAGTAAAAATCTAGCTGAATACTTGAAATCTTTTAATGCGAACACGAATGATCCCAAAACCAAATTCTTAGAACCTAGAGGACTAGTTAATACTGGAAACATGTGTTACATGAACTCGGTAAGAAACTAGTTTAACGACTAGCTTGCTCAAAACGCTGATCAATAGTCAGATATTACAAGGACTTGTCTTCTGCTCACCCTTTTTCAATTTTCTCGACCAAGTCAGCAAACGTACAACTTTCAGCTTCAAGAGCGAAACTCCATTACTAGATGCGATGTTGGTTCCCCAATCCTCTTGCAGGCAATTTTCTTACACAGTCTAGGATACTTTTTATACATGAATACTCCGTCATTGAACCTGCCACTTCCTTGGATCAATCACGGATACATTCAAAACAGGGACAGGTAGACAAATATGGAGAACCATTCACTCCCGACTTCTTTTACAATGTTATCAATCAACTACCTAGATTCTCCTCCATGAGAGTAGGTTCAATGATAAACTTCTAGCTGCAAACACTAACTCATAGAAGTGCGGCCATCAGCAAGATGCAGAAGAATTCTTGGGCTTTCTCTTAGAGGGTCTTCATGACGACTGTGTGCAAGTAGCTAGAAACTATTCATCCGGTGCAAATAAATCTGAATCAAGTCCGCATAATAAAACTTCTCCCCTCTCAAAGAAAATAGAGGAAACCCACCTCCATACTTCTGCGAGCGAAAATGGATGGCTTGAGGTCGGGCCCAAACAAAAGACTGCGTTTACAAGATCGTCAGGTACCACCACTACTGACTCTCCAATAACTAAGATTTTTGGAGGATATTTGAGATCAGAATTACGTGTACCAGGGCTCAAAGATTCGGTTACCATGGAACCTTACCAACCTCTACAACTTGATGTGGGTGCTTACAACGTCAATAATATTGTCGATGCTTTAAAGGGTCTAACTCATCCTGAGTCTTTGCATGGGGATTTTAAATCCCCCAAGGGCTGCAATGTTACTGCTACAAAGCAGGTGTTTATTGATAGTCTCCCACAAGTACTAATACTACATTTAAAAAGGTTTCAATACGACAATGCTGGCGGGACTCAGAAGATTTGGAAAAAAGTTGACTACCCCCTGGAATTGGAGCTTCCAAAGGAGCTATTTCCTCGGCATAAGAGATCATTTTATGAAAAAAACGGTCTGCCAAACTACAGGTTAATCTCGGTTGTATATCACCATGGAAAAAACGCCAGTGGTGGTCATTACACGGTAGATGTAAGGCGCCAAGACGGTCGTGAATGGATCAGACTCGATGATACGGTAATAAAGAGAGTTAAAGGTGAAGAAGTCGTTTCAGGAGGAAGCGAAGAGGATCTTGAGATACTCACTACTACGTTGAATAGTCAGATACTAGATAAGTCTACGCCCGCTCGAGAAGTATCTGCAAAAACGTACTCAGAGAAAAATACCGAATCTGGATGGAAGCAAGCTAATGGACCGGGAAAAAAGTTGACCAACAATTTTAATGGAAACTCAATATCCAAAGCTATCAATAATAAGTTTGCCATCAAGGACAATAAAGTTGCTTATATTCTTTTCTATCAAAGAATAGAAGTTGGTAGTTGATCGCATTCAGTATCTGGAGAGAGAGCTGCGCGAAATTTAGATTCTCAGGACTAAATCCATAAACCCAACATGATATAGTATTCAGATCTAGTAGCTTGCGTAAGTACACCTCAGATTTTCGCATCTTCAATCTCATGATTTAGACCAGAAGAAACCCAAAATCAATGGACTTCAAATCGGCTATCTCTTTGAGACATAAAACTTGTCGTTATGTGATTGGAGACTTGAAACTTTAGGTTTAGTGATGAAGGAGTCACTCCATGGCATATAAGTGTCATTGGACGTGCGAGGATATTTATAAAAGTATTTGTATCTAACTCTAAACACACCTTTTGGGATTTAGACCAAAATTAAAATTGCGAATAAATAGAAAAATGTCTTGGCGTGGAACTAAACAGCTTCACTGCCAGAGCTGTATTCGATGACGCCCATAAAATAAATCTCTTATTTGAGTCTGTGTCTGGGTCACTTCTATCCATGTGAAAAATTGCGCGACTAGATGGATTAGCAGTAGACGAACGAGCTCTATACTCAACAAAATCCAAATAACCCTGTTGCTAGGGTTATCCAAGATGAAAGAAAGCTGATCTGAAATAACCTTGTGAGAAAGAGGTCATAAATGGACGGATGAATACTTGGAGTAGATCCGAATTGAACTTGGTGTATACATGAGATTTTTGCCAGTATCAGTCCGTAGATGCGATGAAATAAAGTCTGTTTACATTGAAAAAATTGACCCATGTAAAAGGATATCGTCCTCCTATTTAGATACTCTTCCTACTTGTCCTGAAACCGTGTGAAAAAACACCATGTCCTTTACTCCAGTTTTAAGTGCCGCCTGTAATTGTTGGGCGCGTACATGATTTGGCAGTGTTTCCGACTGAAAAGCACTATTAGCCACCAGCAGGATCACAATTTCCGTGCTTCCCCAGAGCTGGAAGCTTTTGCCCAAAATCATGGTGACTAGTTTGTTTCGTATTATTTTTGCTACATGAGTCTAAGACTATCTAGCACATCAGGCTCCTTACTATTCATACGAAAAAAGATATCTAATATCATACCCGTAATACATAGCCATTCAGCTCAGCATCTACCCGTGGAAATCAGCCATCTTTTCCACGGAACCTTCTACCCAAATAAAAAAATGGTAGAAACGGAAACTGCGTGCGCGGGAAAAAGTCTCAACCCTCAGCGGCACCAGCCAGTCGAGGTCTAAACATCGGGACCACATGAGGTGCGCATATCCATCTTTATCTCTTTTGTAACGTTAGAGGCCGGGTTGATCCAGTCCGTCATCTCCGTAACGGGTGCTGAGTACGCTCCGAAAACTCATCGTAAAGCTACCCTCAATGACCAAGTGTGGGTGATGAATAGGACTTCGGTCCTACCATCTGACCTGATGTGGTCAGATTCATGGTATTGATGCCAGAAGGATATGCTGGGAGGTGAAAACGATATGGACCTCGAAAACGATTGGGAATCTTCATCGAAGTGAGGACTTTATAATTCAATCTTGGCTCTGCGGACTCTTCAGTGGGATCTAGACGTTCGTAGGGGAGGACAATGAGAGATGTCGAGTCGCAGTCTCCTTGTATAGTTTTGTTAAGATCAGGGAAGCCAGTGCGTGAAGGGCTCAGACACTGTGTATGGACACGACATTGATTGTTCTAAAAAAACCTCAATATTTAAATTGTGCTAAATATGCCCCATATTGTCTCCAAATCCTGTCGCCATTAGGGCCTGGTGTTGGATAACTATGAGAGTGAGGGTTGTCATATTCCATGTTCATTCCAAAGACCTGCCTATCTAGAAATGAGTCTCGCTGCTGGTATTTGAATTTGCGTCGGCGCGATGGACCTTGAGGCTGTTTGAACCTTCACCAGTTTGATGGCAATTTGATACATCCTCATTTCAATGACCATACCTCTTTTCGATTCTCTCTGGTCCCAGCTCACCACCAAATACACGCAAACGCCGACATTTGTATCCGACGGAAGGAATAAAGCGTGGGGCACAATCCGGGAGGTAGTTTTTTGAATGGACGTTAGAGACAGTTGTGTATATGGACGCAATGATACGAGGGATTGATATAGTCTCGACGGGCGTGAAATATCGAATTTTGCAAGAGTTTTACGAATTGAGATTTGTGCGTGCCAAGACTTCGCCTGCGAGAGTGCAGCTGACACTATAAAAACAAGCCGACGATGGAAGGTGTCGTGGTCTGCCTCCTGGTGGTGTTCTCCGGTAAAGTCTGAGTAGCCTGGGCACCTACTCCACTTGGGAAGGAGACACCTAAGACCATATTTCGCGCGGAGAAATGTGAACGAATGATGGAAGCATGTCTGGATAACCCAGGGTTTTTGAGACGTTTCCCTGAGTGGGTATTCATGGATGAGGGTTGACTTGGGGTGAAGAAAAAGCCGCCATAACTTCGCAGTGGTACTTGCAAATGAAATCTGAGGCATGAGTGCTCTTCCTTTATATTGAGTCATCCATTCTTTGCTTTTCTTTGATATTGTGTCATAGCTAGGTAGCTGCATACGCAATTAAAATCTGATGCAAAAAAAGTATTGTTCCATGTGAGAGCAGTCTTCAAGATGTGGTTAAGACTCTGACTTGGACCTGATTAAGCTCATTAGCGAGGCCCTTGGAGTGGAGGAAGAAGGGGGATAGAGAAAAGAATGAGACAACATTACATGTATTTCGAGACACCAGTTAAATGACTATATTCATCGAATTGGTGACGAAATCCAATTATTATTACTTCGTGTTTTAGCAACAACTGTTAAAATAGGTTAATACATATTCCACCTATTATTAGAATGCACATGACTACTGTTCCAACAATTTTGTCAGAATTGAAGGCGATGTGGTGTAGGAAGATTAAGATAGAGCACTCACGTGTGAATGTTAGGTCTAACATTTATCGAGAAGTCGTCGATTTTAGATAAGCTTGAGGTTGCTTTCGACTTCGATTCGGATGCGGTTCCTCTTGGCTATCCCACACATGCAGAGCATACAGAGCGACTACACCGGCATCATTGGAAGGTGAAGAGTTCATCTTTGCCGGTAGCTCTGTCCACAGAGATTCTACTGATTTAAAAATAAATAAACTTTCTCTGAAAATCACCGTTTCCTTGTCTTCATCTTACCTTTGGGAAAAAATAGAAAATTACAACGGTTATTAATAGAGGTGATAAAATGGTAAAAATAGGAATTACGCAAACACAAAATTAAGGATGTCAAACCTGAAAGGACACTCAAGCCACTCAAAAGTGTCTAAAGGAAATTCCTAAAGATCAGAACGGGGGCATACCAGTCGACCAGAAGTAGAATACTAGAGCATGAAACGTCAACTCTCCCGATAGAGATCTACCTTAAACAAAGGCGGCTTCAATATACCGGGCTATCCAACAACCTACCGATCCAATAGACGATTTCAACTGCACGCCGAAAAATCAAATATTTTGATGAAGAAAATTTAAGTAAACGCGATAAAAATAGGAGTGATGATATAGCGGAGTGGACCCTAATCTGCAGCAACATCGAGTCTAAAATAGGACAGAAAGTAGCCGGTAATAACGCCGCGTTCAAGGAATGGTCAGAATCCTGGACGAGCCAGAAAGAGCATCACTGGGGTCCTCGAGCGCAAGCTAATCCGTATAGGTGAAATGCTGCAAACTTATACAACAACAAGAAAACAGGTAGACTTATGATGAACTATAGAGAGTCACCTATCCAAATCCACCAAAACCTTAGCAGGGCCCAGAGTAGCATTGCCACACAAGTAAGAAGCGAGCTCATTGGGCTCAATGCTTACTTATACAGAAGGAACGTGCCAGAAGTAGGAAAACCATGCTGCCAATGCGGATATCCGTCCCAAAATATAAAGCACATGGTGATTTCTTGTCCAAGATGGGCAAAGGGAAGAGATGAGTTGCTACGAAAATCGACAACTCGATCTTTCGAAGCTATGGTAAATAATGTCAAAGATATAACAAGAATTTCTCAGTGGATCCAAAAGGAAGGATGGCTAGAGCAGTTTCGGATGACCGGGGAAATCGAGGCGTTAGATTAGATTAGATTAGATTTGTATTATAGTCCTAACTGAGTCAATGACTATTGAGGACTCCTAGAATCTACAAATAAGATACTAGCTACATGTTGTAAGTTCCTACTTATCACCTTTATGCTGTGCTCTTATGGACAGTGAGGGAAAATCGAGGCGTTAATCAAGCGAAGGGAGGAAAATGGATACACAGAAAAAGGACGGAATCCACACTGGCAACAACAGTGTGAGTGCACTTCCTAGAGGTAAGACTATAATCGCGCAGAGTCAAGTCAGACAGCTAAGGGGGTTTTTACTGCAAGGTTTCCTCCTATGTAAATATTAGAGTTCGTAGACGCCTGCATGGGCCCATAGGGCACCAAATCGGGCTAAATGAAATCAAATTAAAAGGATGTCAACCCAATCAGACCGAAACCGTATAGTACTCACGGATGAGGGCTGATTTGGGGTGAATTGAAAAACCAACATAAATTCGTAGAGATACTTGCAAATGAAATCCTAGACATGAGTGCTATTCTTTTCAATTAGGTCATCTGCTTTGCATTTTTCTCTGATATTGTGTTATGGCTAGATAGATGAATACGCAGCTAAAATCTGATGCAAGAAGAAGGTGCCAGAGGAGGAGTTTAACACGTGGACATGATCCTCGCTCAAAATCGATTCTCATTGCTACAGTTCTCAATCTCATTGCAAATAAATTAAACAAATACTTTCAATTTGATTTGATTCCATTTGGCTCGTTCAGGTACCCTATGGGCCCATGCAGTTATATCTAGCTATATTATTTACAAAGGAGGAATCCAATTTGGTAAGAGCCCCCATAACTGTATATCTTGTGTGTATTGGATTTCTGAGTTTCCCACAGGAAGTGCGTTTACACTGTTTATACGGTGTGAATTCCGTCTTATCCTTGTCCTCATCATCTCATCTT